GGGGCCATAGGAAAAGGTTCGCCTATATACACAATGTTGTTCTATTGGATATACATTCCAATATGAGCTCTAAATACCAAATTTTAAGCTATTCCGCTATACACTGCGCCTAAAATCGTCAAAATACCGAATATGGGTAGGTAAAATTATACATGTGCTTTTAGAAAACTTGACCTATATAGGCAATGTTCTGCCACAGGATGTAGAACATATTATGAACTCTAAATACCGAATTTTAGAGTAGCTAAACACATCAAAATATTAAATATCGAGAGATACCTTTATATGGTGCTATAGAAAAACGTGGGTCCAATATTATGCCACAGGAGGTAGATCCCAATACAAACTCTAAGGACATAGTTTTAAATTATACCATTTGGAAATGTGGCTAAAATCGTTAAAACTCAGAATATCGGGAGGTACAATTATATAGAGGATATACGAAAACTTTGACGGATGTAGCTCATCTTCGAACTTGACAGACAACCAGACGGATGAGCAAATATATGGAAGCTATATCCAAATCTGAACCGATCTCGATAGATGATACTTCCTTTAGGGCTGAATTCGGTCGGATGTGCTGAAATAATCCTCCTTCGACGAATATTACACATATGGCACACAACAAAATTTAAATCGGACGAAGAGATATATGGGGGGCCATAATTTACATTGTAGTGATTGTCACAAATGATTTGTGGAAAATCGGACAATAACTTTTACCTGTACTTTATTTACAAAAATACATAGACAGACTAACGGACTTGCATAAATCGACTCAGAATGTGACTCCTCATCAAGAGGACCTATAGGTCAATTTCTTTTCGTTCAGCATGTTACATGGCGTCTATATAAATGAGTAAAATGGATATATAGCATTAGAATCGGAGGTACCTCCAAAAATTTTGGATTTTGTTTGCACATATCAATTGATAGGTTATAGGTATACTCATCAACGTAACGTAATTTGGAACAAAAATAAATTTGCAAATTATATTGAAATCGGTTCAGATTTAGATTTAGCTCCCATATGCCTAAAATACGATATGTATGTTCGATTCCAATGAAATTTGGAATGTGTCATGGGATTTGATCCCAAAATAGATTTGTCAAATTATATTGAAATCGGTTCAGATTTGGATATAGCTCCCATAAAAATTTTCACCCGATTTCATGTATTTGGTGCACCAAACACGATATGTATGTAAAATTTTAATGAAATTGGAAATAAGTAACGGAATTGGGAACAAAAATAAATTTGCCAAATTATATTGAAATCGGTTCAGATTTGGATATTGTTCCCATATATATTTTCGGCCGATTTCATGTATTTGATGCATCAAATACGCTGTGTATATCAAATATCAATGAAATTCGGAATGTGTAATTGAATTTGGTCTAACGATTTATTTATTAAATTATATTTAAATCGGTTCATATTTGGATATAGCTCTCATATATATTTTCGGCCGATTTTACATATTTGATGCACCAAACGCGATACGTATGCCCGATTTCAATGAAATTCGGCTTGAGTGATTATATTTGGTACATAAATAAATTTGCAAAATTATACTGAAATCGGTAAAGATTTGGATATAGCTCCCATATATATTTTCGACCGTTTTCGTTTATTTGATGCCTCAAACACGATGTTTATGTTCGATTTCAATGAAATTTGGAATGTGTAACGGGATTTGATCCGAAAATAAATTGAAATCGTTTCAGATTTGGATATAGCTCCCATATACATTTTCGGCCGATCTCATATATTTGATGCACCAACACCATACATATGTCCGATTCCATTGAAATTTGGACAGAGAGACGAAAATTTATACCAAAAAAAAAAAGAAACAAGTAAAAAAACATTAAGTTCGGCCGGGCCAAACTTTTTAATACCCTCCACCTTAGGGTAAAAGAAACATTAGAAGAAATGTGGCAAAAACAATTAAAATGCCGAATATTGGGAGGTACCGTTATATGGGGGCTACACCAAAACGTGGACCTATAATTACAATGTTACGCCACACGAACTAGGACCCATTATGACCCACAGATACCAATTTTTAGACGAATCAGTGAAAAAATGTGGCAAAAACCATCAAAATACCGAATATCGGGAGGTACCGTTATATGGGGGCTATATCAAATCATGGATCCATGCATGCAATGTTTCGCCACCGAAGCTGGAACCCATTATGACCTACAAATACCAATTTTCAGACAAATCCGTGAAAAAATGTTGCAAAAATCATCAAATTACCGAATATCGGGAGGTACCGTTATATGGGGACTATACCGGAAAGTGGACCGATGTATCTGATTTTCAATACCAACCATCCTAGACACAATGCAAATAGCTCTGCTAAATGTTGGTGCTCTACGTCAAATGTGGGCTGCATCGTGATTTCAACAGACAGACAGACAGACGGACATCGCTAAATCGACTTAGAATTTTATGCTGATTATGAATATATATACTTTATGGGGTCTAAAACGAATATTTAAGGATGTTACAAACGGAATGACAAAGTTAATATACCCTCCTTTCCAAGGTGGAGGGTATAAAATTCCCAAATTATATTGAAATCGGTTGAGGTTTGGGTGTAGCTCCCATACATATATTTCGGCCGATTTCATGTTTGTTGTGCACCAAATACGATATGTATGTCCGATTCCAATGAAATTCAGTTTGTGTGGCGGAATTTGGTTACAATAATAAATTTGACAAATTAATTAGGAATCTGTTAAGATTTGGATATAGCTCCCATATATATACTCATGGGCGATTTCACACATTCGATGCACCAAACACGGCAAATACCTCCAATTTCAATGAAATATGGATGGTTTGACGGAATTTGGTGTAAATGTATTTTATTTTTTTTTTTCAAATTGTATTGTATATGATTAAGAAGCATTGACACACAAAGCCTTTGCAATAGTATAAGGCTAAAAGTAAACTAGTAAAAAAGCTGTAAGTTCGGCCGGGCCGAACTTTTAATACCCTCCACCATTTGGTACAAATTTGGCAATTTCCACAAAATAAAATCCGTTAAAAAATTCTGTTAATATCTTAAGAATGCCGAATGCTTATACGACGACGTGGGCCTGCATAGGCAACTTTTGTCATAAGTTATTACAAGTTATATTTAAATGCGAAACTTGAAGAAAAATCTGTTTATAATGTAGCTAAAATCATTAAAATACCGTATATGGGGGGTACCGTTATATGGGGGCTATACGAAGACGTGGACCTACATGGTCCATTTTCTGTTTTATGCTGCAGTATCTATTACGAACTTCAAATACCAAATTTGGAACGATTCCGTTAAATAATGTCGGTAAAATCATCAAAATACCGAATATCGGGGGGTACCATTATATAGGGGCTATACGAAGACGTGGACCTACGTAGATTATTTTCTGTCTTAGGCTGTAGTATCCATTACGAACTTCAAATGCCAAATTTGAAACAATTCTGGCAAAATATATATGTGTGCAAAATTTTAGCCTTCTATCTCAATTTGTTCGAAAGATAGCGTGATTACAACAGACAGACAGACGGACAGACAGACAGACACACAGACAGACAGACGGACATGGCTAAATCGTCTTAGAATTTTAGGCTGATCAAGAATATATATACTTTGTTGGGTCTGACATGAGTATTTCGAGGAGTTACAAACGTTTCCAGCACGCTAGGTATTTGCTATAAATTAATCAATCCCAACAAACTCTTCGTGCATGCGGACTAAATTTGGCATGTTCCTTCTTTTCTCATGGTCAGCTGTTCCTGGCATATTCACGCGTACAATAATTACGTTTTTTATATTTTTGAATTTGTTTTTATTTTAAACCAACAAATATTCGTATATAAAATGTTGAATGCATATAAAATCAAAAGGGGTAGCGAAGCGTACCGAGTTCCGCTAGTTTGATATAAATCTGTAATTTCATTGAAATCTAGAATGTGTGACGGAATTTGGTCTACAACATTGATATCGGTTCAGATTTGGATAAATTTGTACATTTTACATTTCCTATGACAATTAATAAATCTCAAGCACAAACTCTTCCTGAACATGGACTAAATTAACCAAACAGCGAAAGTAGTAACAAAGCGCGCTGGGTTGAGTAAGTGGGGTATAAAAAGTCATGGTTTATGAGATGGTGGCATCTTTGGACTGTACTTATTCAAAAATGCTTCGAATCGTAACGTTACTGTGAATGGTGAGCGCTAACGGCGTTAAATCGGCCATTCTAGTGGCGTTAAATGGACCGTCTAGATTGTCTATTGAAATCAGGACAATATACATATATGGAAATTATAGTCAAGTATGATCCGATTACAACCAATTTAAATAGGGTCCTTCCCTGAGCTTAAGAAACTAGGAGACCAATTTCCCGTCCATCCTATGCAATATATAATGAAATATTATTTAACGCAGTGATCAGAGATTCTCATAGACCACGTAGATGGTGGTTTCCCTGACATTTCATTTCGAATGATATAAAACGTTTAAAAAGGAAAAAAGTGTCGCAACCATTCATTAGCCATTATTTTCATTCTTTCACTCAGTCTTCTGCATGCAATGCACTTCTTCATTGAATTATTACTCGATATGGGATATTTTCACCACCTCTAATTAAGGAAAAACAAAAGAAAACGGAAAAGGAAAGCAAACTTGAATTGCTGGACACCCACTGTCGGAATCAACTTACTGCAGCTATTTAACTTTCAACTTTTGTACATCTGTTGCTGATGGTTAGTATCTGTCGTCAAAGTTTTCTCCATTGTGGGGGCTTTTTCGATCTTTCCTCTTCCTCCGCATCCTCAGCAAGCTGTCTGCGGACGTCTGTCTAAATATCTGATATCGCTGTTTGCTGAAGGACAAAAAGCGGAAGCGTGAGCTGAACATTGTGAAAAGCGTTAATTTGGCACACTTTGTCACTTGTTTTTTCCTCGTTTCTCATGTCACATTGACTTTTTGCAGTGGAAAATAATAAAATAAAACTGAATGTCCATTTCGGACTCTTGGCTGCTCGTTTAAATGTTTTAAAAGGATGTCCAATTGCTGGTGTGCCATCCCGTACCGTACCGTCCCGTCCCGTCCAGTCCACTCCGTTTTCAGTTTTTGTGTTGTCGGTTGAACTAATGGGTTGTAAAAGATTTCTTAAAATTTAATTAAAAGCCATTACGATGGTCGTTGCATTCATTTCTCTTGAAAAATGAATTAACATCAATTTAATGAGTTAAACCAATGATGAGGAAAGGATATGTTGGCTTCATTCATGGCTACAGCCAATTTCAAAAGAAAAAAGAAAGAATATTTAAATTGTTATCAAGTCTTCGCATTTAATTGGCAATAAATTAATGGCGAACATTCCAGATTTTCCTCTATTTATGAAATTAATAAATATTTTAAAAACTATGCGTCAAATACATAATGAAAGTCTTAGGACGGTATTATACTTTAGAAGTAATAGCTCCTACCTTCTCAGAGTCCTGTCGTCAAAGAAAAAATAACGGGAATCGCCAAATCAATCAACAATCCAATCAATACAAAAATGATCACAAGAGGTTACCTCCTTATAGTTAGTGCTACTAAACACTTTTCAGCGTAATTCCAATCATTCGTAAAATTTCATTTGCAATTCAAATTCAAATGAATTTTTAGACATGTCTTGGGAATTCTGGTTCATGTAATTAGTAGTTGGTCACACCATCCCAGGAAGAAATTGGTCGTTATGTGTGATACTATTAGCATTACTAATAATTACAAATACATGCACTACCAGCAATATAAAAACAAAATCTGCACAGATTGCAACCCCTAGGTGGACACAAAAAACGAGTATAACAGAAACGCACATACACGATGGATATAGGAATCCTATTTTTCATTTTCCACACCATGGGGGCAAAAGATAGGAATAAGAATAAATCAATGTGTTGCAGAAGGCATACAGTACTCATTTTAGACCTATAACAATCCAGAAGGTATGTAGTTGTCATTAATAGTAGAGCTGAGAGCGACACATGTCTTTACCAAAATCTTAATCCTCCGCCGTTATTGTCATAAAGTAATTATATAATATATTAGTAATTATCATTATATTAGTAATTATATATATATATATATATATATATATATATATATATATATATATATATATATATATATATATATATATATATATAGGTGACCCGGTGCGCTTCGCTACCCCTTTTGATTTTATATGCATTCAAAATTTTATTTACGAATATATGTTGGATAAAGAAAAACTAATTTAAAAAAAAGTTGTGGGTCAATGGTTCTTATTAAAATCATATCCCAATCTGATCCGATTTAAATATAATTTTAAAAAAATTACTTTTACACCAAACTCCGCCACACCTTTCATATTTCATTGAAATTGGTGCGTCAAATATGTGAAATCGGAGAATATATATATGGGAGCTATATCCAAATCTTAACTAATTTCCAATTAATTTGTCACATTTATTATTGTAACCAAATTCCGCCACACATTCTGAATTTCATTGGTATCGGTCATATATATCGTGTTTGGTGCATAATATGTATGAAATCGGCCGAAATATATATGTTAGCTATATCCAAACCTCAACTGATTTCAATATATTTTGAAATTTTTTCTGGTGCCAGATTTTGTCTCTCTCGCTTTGGGTGCATCAAATATGTGAAATCGGCTGAGTATATATATGGGAGCTATAATCACATCTGAGCGTATTCGAATATAATTTGTCAAATTTATTTTTGTACCAAATTTAGCCACTCATGCCGAATTTCGTTGGAATCGGAAATACGTATCGTGTTTTGTGCATCAAATATTTGAAATCGGCGGAAAATATATATGGGAGCTTTATCCAAATCTGAACCGATTTTAATATAATTTGACTAATTTATTTTCTAATCAAAATCCCGTTACATATTCCAAATTTCTTTGGAATCGAACATACATATCGTGTATGGTGCATAAATTACATGAAATCGGTCGAACATATATATGAGAGCTATATCCAAATCAGCCGATTTTAATATAATTTGACAAATGTATATTTGTTTTAATTTCCGGTACACATTCCAAATTTCATTGAAATTAGAGATACATAGCGTGTTTGGTGCATCAAATACATGAAATCGGTCGAAAATATATATAGGAACTATATCCAAATCTGAACCGATTTCAATATAATTTGACAAATTTATTTTCGGATTAAATCCCGTCACACATTCCAAATTTCATTGGAATCGAACATTCATATTGTGTTTGAGGCATCAAATAAACGAAATCGGTCGAAAATATATATGGGAGCTATATCCAAATCTGAACCGATTACAATATAATTTGGCAAACTTATTTTTGTTCCAAATTCCGTTACGTATTCCAAATTTGGAGACTGTATCTTCAACCAATCAATAGATATGTGCATATAAAATCAAAATTTTTGGGAGGTACCTCCGATTCTGATGCAATATCTCCAGTTCCAAGTGGAAATTCAAAAATGTATATAGCCTATGTTACTTTCAGGCGATGTTGCAGGGAAATCTATTCAGCGGTTTTCGAGTCCATAAATTACAAAGAAACAAACAAACAAACATACAAACATTTTCCTCTTTTATATATATATATATATATATATATATATAGATATATATATATATATATATATATATATATATATATATATATATATATATATATATATATATATATAAAATATGTATATATATATAATATATATATATATATATATATATATATATATATATATATATACTAGCTGAACCCGGTGCGCTTCGCTACCCCTTTTGATTTTATATGCATTCAAAATTTTATTTACGAATATATGTTGGATAAAGAAAAACAAATTTAAAAATTAAAAAAAATATTGCACTAATTTAATGCGTAAATAACCAAAACCATTAGAAAAGCAGTAACATGACATACATACACGAAGGGTTTGTCCTTTGGATTTATTTATTTCATAGCAAATACCAAGCGTGCAGGAATTTTTTTAAGTAGAGTGGTATTTCTATTGCAAGTAGTGAATTCGAGATAGCAACATACTTCGCCGTAATAAGCGTATTTCAAATAAATTGTTGTGTTGTTTTTTAGTGTTAGCCTAAGGCGTTGTGGGTCAATGGTTCTTATTAAAATCATATCCCAATCTGATCCGATTTAAATATAATTTAAAAAAAAAATACTTTTACAACAAACTGAAATTGGCGCGTCAAATATGTGAAATCGGCCGAGAATATATATATGGGAGCTATATCCAAATCTTAACTAATTTCCAATTAATTTATCACATTTATTATTATAACAAAATTCCGCCACACATTCTGAATTTCATTGGAATCGGTCATATATATCGTGTTTGGTGCATAATATGTATGAAATCGGCCGAAATATATATGTTAGCTATATCCAAACCTCAACTGATTTCAATATAATTTGGCAATTTTTGCTGGTGCCAGATTTTGTCTCTCTCGCTTTGGGTGCATCAAATATGTGAAATCGGCTGAGTATATATGGAGCTATAATCACAACTGAGCGTATTTGAATATAATTTGTCAAATTTATTTTTGTACCAAATTTAGCCACTCATGCCGAATTCCGTTAGAATCGGAAATACGTATCGTGTTTTGTGCATCAAATATGTGAAATCGGCGGATAATATATATGGGAGCTATATCCAAATCTGAACCGATTTTAATATAATTCGACTAATTTATTTTCTAATCAAAATCCCGTTACATATTCCAAATTTCTTTGGAATCGAACATACATATCGTGTATGGTGCATAAATCGGTCGAAAATATATATGAGAGCTATATCCAAATCTGAACCGATTTTAATATAATTTGACAAATGTATATTTGTTTTAATTTCCGCTACACATTTCAAATTTCATTGAAATTAGAGATACATAGCGTGTTTGGTGCATCAAATACATGAAATCGGTCGAAAATATATATGGGAGCTATATCCAAATCTGAACCGATTTCAATATAATTTTAAAAATTCATTTTTGCTCCCGATTCCGTTACTTATTTTAAATTTCATTAAATTTGGACATACATATCTTGTTTGGTCCACCAAATACATGAAATCGGCCGAAAATGTATATGGGAGCTATATCCAAATCTGAACCGATTTCAATATAATTTGGGAAATAATTTTTTTTAGATAAAATCTATCACACGTTTCAAATTTCATTGAAATTGGGGATACATAGCGTGTTTGGTGCATCAAATGCTTGAAATCGGCCGAAAATATATATGGGAGCTATATCCAAATCTGAACCGATTTCAATATAATTTGACAAATTTATTTTCGGATCAAATCCCGTCACATATTCCAAATTTCATTGGAATCGAACATTCATATTGTGTTTGAGGCATCAAATGAACGAAATCGGTCGAAAATATATATGGGTGCTATATCCAAATCTGAACCGATTACAATATAATTTACCAAACTTATTTTTGTTCCAAATTCCGTTACACATTCCAAATTTGGAGACTGTATCTTTAACCGATCAATAGATATGTGCATATAAAATCTAAATTTTTGGGAGGTACCTCCGATTCTGATGCTATATCTCCAGTTCCAAGTGGAAATTCAAAAATGTATATAGCCTATGTTACTTTCAGGCGATGTTGCAGTATATATGGAAATTTTCAGAAAAATCTATTCAGCAGTTTTCGAGTCCATAAATTACAAACAAACAAACAAACAAACAAACAAACAAACAAACGTACAAACATTTTCCTCTTTTATAGATATAGATATATATATATATATATATATATATATATATATATATATATATATATATATATATATATATATATATATAAAATATATAAATCTTTATTATTTTAAATGTACACTTTTCTAAACGATGTCTACATTCTTTACCTAATTTTGATGAATATTTTAGAGATTTATATCCCCTACCATTTAGAATTATTTGAATATACTTTATGTTTTTTGTTTTCCACTAATAAAATAAACATTTAAGACAAATGATCGAAACAAAAATATTTTTTCTTTAAAAGAGAATATTTAGAATTAGAATTCGCAAAATTTGACAGATACGATCAAAGCGTGCCTAATCGAAATAACAGTTTTAGACGCTAGGTCTCTTTGGA